GCTGGGCTCGTTGTGTTCACTCCCAGGGGAACTACTTCGAGGGTGATGGATGAATTTAATACCTGAGATAAGTGTACGGGTTTTTATAGGCGCAGTCTTGAAACTTTCCGATCGCACCTTGTAACTACGTAGAGTTCTGGTCCGCAGCTGTTAATACGCGTTTGGAATTTACCCCACCGACTGATAAGAATCGTTACGAATTCTGTACTTTTCATTTTCTGGGGTGAAAATGGATTAACTACGTGAAAACATTTCTTAAACGAGGAGGAAAACGGTGGGAAATTGCATTTTAACGTGGGTACGGCCTGGAGACACAAAATAAACCACTCCCTGTTGAATTTCAAAGGGTCTTTCTCACTAGTTTTATATAATGCTCAATTCTGTTCCACTAACAAGCAAACACATTAGCTCAGCTGCAGTGGGACTCACTTTTGCTCGGGAATAAAGTTACAAAGTCAGTCAACTGATCTATCTAGACTTATATTTATTTGCCTTGCTCCTCTTAAGCTATGATTGAACAACAAAACAGCTAAGTTACATATCGGACAATGTAATTTTGCTGTCAATGTCATAACGTTTTGTACGTCTAAATGATGCGATCAATATTTTTTTTAAAATTTACAGTGTCAGTACACGTTTTATGTAATAAATGTAAACTTATGCACGTAGTTCGTCATGAAATGGTTACATTCTTAGAAATGTGAGGTAAGTAGAATAATAAATTCAGTTGTGTACAAAGAATTTCTGCAAACTGGTGGTCAGATATTCAGAGCCCATGGAACTCCCTTCACTTTCAAATAGATTTAAAATTGCTACCAACAGAATATGGAGAATTTCTCGCCTTTCTATTTCTAGAGATACGTTGAGAGACCTAGTCATAGATAGGAGATGATATTAAAATTTATAGATTCTAGTAGCGGACTGATGTGAACACGACGACACACTTTTGGTTTCCGTAAAAGACAGGAAATTTATTTAATAACTGAGCGACTATCAGCTACACATAAATATTCTCAATAAGGACTCTGCTTCATGGAATTCAATAATTTCATTACGCGTACATACAAACTTTAAGAAACTTCACACCGTTTGATAAAGTTCGTATTGAAAAGGAAATATTTGTTTTGTAAGGTACGGCACAGAAGTGAGATGACCTTTGTAGAATCTTTAATGTCACAGAATCCATCGATCTTTGTGCCACACTTGCTCTGAGGAATAAACCTTGGGAAGACGTCAGTTATCAGTAACTTCGTGTGCTGCAGTTGATGGCGGAGAAAGCAGAATCTGCTATGATTTTGAGAGTTTAAGTCGTTTCAGAACTTTTTCGGTCGTTTCAATTTACAGACTGTTCTTCCAGTTAATTTCACATATTCTGTTCTTCCAACATTGTTTCTTTTGCTGCGTTCATCTACTTCACTTATTCTTGTTTTCTCTTGCCCCCCAACTTTTCAGTTCGTTGTCCTATATAAAAAAACGAACTTCGAAGAATTTTCCGTCAGATTAATAAAAAAATGCTGTATAGCTACATAAAAAGAAACTGGAATTCCATTACAGTCAAAACTATTTTAGAGTACTCATTTCACAATAAGGAATGCAGCAAATTGAAGCGACAAATGTTCTTTTCATAGCAGTGTACATGGTTCACATTGGCATTTCTCGTTACCGATACAAACAGAATCACTCCGCAAAGAATTATACCGAAAGGGGAACTAGCACAGCTGACAGATTTCACACCGCAATTAATACAGTCCAATAAATGTTCAGATATTAATATCTTCACATTATTTACGACACATTCGAGTCACTAATTACAAAAATAAGTGCAAAGACTTACGGTCATCGATCGAATTATCAGTTTATATTCTAGCATGACTCCAGGGTTCATAGAAAATGCCGTGAAAAGATTAAACGCTTAAATCAATTAATCTTTTTTAATCGATTCAGAGTTAAAAATGGGTAACCGTATATTTTTTCTACGGGTATAAACATGAAGCAACATAGATATTTGTTTTGCATTGTGTACACACACACGTACCTAAAAATGTCCCATCAAGATTCTATAGCAACCTTTCAAAAAGTATTAATAGTAGAAAGACGATTCTTAGAACAATCGGTTCTACATTTTTCTTAAGTTAAATGGTTCTTTTTAAATGTTCTTGAATATTTACAAGTTGGACCATAGAAGCGATCAGAACTTAAAAAGAACTCTGGTGTGACATGTGACTTGAACCATCGGGAGCATCGAATCAAAATCTGTGAGTGTTTAGCCCAAAAGTCAAAATGAAAGTTACAACAATGTCTTCCTTGAACACCTAGGTCGACTGATGATTCTTTTTGCAAATTTATTGCTCTGTAAAATTAATGAGAGATTCGCCATTGAAGAAAAATTTAAAGAGGCAAATCACACGTTTCTTGATGTAACAGCCAGAAGAAAGTTAGGAAACAATTCTTAATATCTGTAATACTTTCTAATATTTGGTACAGGCTGTTCAGAATATTTTGAGAGATGTATCATAAGAAGCGAGACAGAGAGAAGACTAAAAAATAATACTTTTTTTGGGGGGGGGATAAGAAATTCGGTACAGTCTACCATAAGCTTATACATGATTTCGTGTTATAATTTATAGCCTGTTTAGATCATTTTCATGTAACGTTCATGACACGTAATTAAACGTCATTTAGAAAAATCTAGTCCTTCTGGCCTGGATGCATACTGTGATTACAAATATTACAGCCATCATGTAAAAACCATTACGTCCATTTGTGACTTTTCAACAATATACATTACATCTTATCATCGAGAAATACTAACAGAAGTGTGTTTACTTAAATAACACCCCGCATTGAAACTTATAAAGTAACATAGTTATGTCAACTTTCTCCAAATAATGGTCTTCACTTTGCGTATTTTAGTCCCACTTAACGTTGAATGCAAATGCCATTGAACCAAATGTATTTCCTATACGAACTAACAATAGCGGATTCGGAGACTTGATATATACTGCATTAGAACGTTATCGATTGGGGTTCAGAGCCTGCTATCTCTTGAGCTGACCGGCTGTTGCTACTGCTGACTTTTCACGGTAAATCCAACAAGTCAAGTAATCTTTGGGTAGACAGACACAGATCATCTGGAAACATTCTAAAACTTGCTACTTTCGGTAAGTATCGCCATTATAACCACTGTTGCGCCACTTATATGGTTGAAATCTGCTACTGCTCAATGGAAATTATTGTATTGAAGAACATAATTAATTTATTTGAGATTTCAGATTCTCACTGCGGTTAGCGAGAAGAAGCCTGCCTTCTGGGTTGTTTCGCCGCGTAGCCTGGTAGAAGTTTACCGACGTTACAGAGTTTCTTGAGTGAATCATCGCCCTGACGATGGAGGCAGAAAGCACCTGAAATACTGGTAAACTTCTGCCAAATTACACGGCGCAAAAACTGAGAAGATAGAGATCTTTATACTCGCCGCCGTGAGAAACTGAAATCTCACACAAGATAATTATTTTTCTCGTCATTTCATTATATTGTACTTCTAGTCCATATGTGTATACTAATAGCTAAAGCCCGTCCATTTATCCCGTCTCACCTTCTTTCCCCTAAACTGCGCATCGTAGGAAAAATGTGAATACAAAAATGTTCCTATTGTATTGATTTTTCTATTTTCGAAAATTTGGCACAAAGTGCCCAATAAACGTATACAACGCGTTTACCGAAATCAATGCGTAGTACATAAGTAGTAAAAGCAAAAATGAAATGTTTTCCGAAAATACAACGCCGGACTATTGTAATGACGAGTCGTAGAAAAGAACAGTAATACAAACTAAAATGTTTTCTCTTGAAGTGTCAACTCAACGAAAATTATTAATTTTTTAATTAGGTATCGATGTCCAGGCAACTAAAATCTTACGCTCATGGCATGTAAACTACCACAGTAGAAGTTTACATAATATACTAAAGGGCATTTCTACCAGGTTATATTTCAGTCCCGCCATATACAACACATTTAATTAGTCAAACATTTTTACTTTATTGCTAATAATTCTCAGACTTCTTTTAAAGTATGCCTCGCCGGAAACTTGACAGCAACAAAAGACAGCTTATTTAATATTTCTGACGTTCCTACAGAAGGAAACACAATTTATATTCGTGTCCGGTCTCTTGAATTTCGATAAAATTCTTTTCCGCCATTTTCCATTGTAGGACCTTTTGTGAACACGGTAATGAACTTATAGGTTCCATAAAATAAGAAAAATTTATTGACCAGCTAAGCGACCACCAACTTCTAAAAAAATAATGCTGCTCATTGGCGTTAGTTATCGGTTTTTAACTAATAAACGATAAACTACTGTGCTGTATTGTTTACTTATTCTATAATTATATTCAGTAATTTAGAAGTTATTTTCTGGTCTTAAAATTATTTTATTTAATACAACTTTCCAGGCTAGGCTTAAACGTTTAAAGACAAGGGATAAAATATTATCATTTTTATGTGTATGTATAACTAACAGATATAGCTAGAGTTAAAACTCGTAAATAGCAGCTTAAACATCTACTGAATTCGATAAATATCGAACAAAGTAATTAAATGTCCAGAATAATTCTAGTTAAATTCACATCGCAAATAAACACATAGTTCAAACTTTAAAATATATATCACGTACTTTTGCTGTTCGATGACAACAAAGTGGTAACTGTGGATGTTATGAACGGCACGAAATGGCTTTTCAATTATTACGACCTTTCTTACCTCTGGACTGACGTCAGTAGCATTGGCACTCGACACGAACTCCCGGAGGAAACCATCCAGTTCCGTGCCTTCGATATAGCCGTTTCCTGAAATTAAACCAGACAGAATATAAATTACAGCATTTTTCTACTATCAACTTCACACTTGTGAGTTTATGATCAGTCTGTCTTTACGCCGATCATGGATGTGTATGCACTGTCTTTTCTATGATACGTTTTCCATGGTAAGAAAAGGTCATATGTTGTGCCAGTCAAAATATTTAATTAATTATTTGTTTAAAAATTAATTATAAATTCAAACACTCCTTTGGATTCTTCACTCCTTCTACGAAAATCCACTTGCCGCCTCTTCTCGAAGTCAGAAAATTTGAAGTCCGTTATCTGCGATACTGAATAACTTTCGCCGTCCAACAGAATAAATCACCAACTAACTCTAAAAGAAGAAGAGTCCAGAAGTAGCTGTTACACGCTCACCTGGTCATGCAATTCTCCTCCTGTTTTGTAAGTTAGCTGTTGTGGACCCTATATCAAGTCGTCATTCTCAAACTTTATTTATTTATGTTAATATTATCCTCCCTCTATACCAAGGTTTTCCAAGTAGTCTCTTTACTCCAGGTATTCTGAATAATAAGTTGCCTGTATTTCTACTCTCCCCTATGCGTGCCGAATCTTCTGCAAACTTTGCATCGCGAACCGAAATATTAATTGATATCTGAAAATGTGGCAAATTTTAGTACAATTTTTTTCTTATGAAGAATAACATGTACAGAGCACTAAGGAATAAATCAAAAGTGATAACATGTAAAAGCAATTATATATTTTATTTCTTTTAAATTCATTCTCATAATTGTTTTAAAGTAGTAATACCAAAGTGAAATTGTAACGACAGACCCAATTAACATGGGGTATTTTTCGATTAAACTGTTTACAAATACGTAAATTACATTAGTAATGCAATGCATACATATATTGATTGTAATTATATCAACAAAAGGGTCGTTTGCTTCTGTTTGCTCTCTACTACGGTTTATATGGTCAGTACCTATACGTGCCTCTGCATGATTTAGGCCCATATATCTGAAGTTCTCTGCAGTCGATAACAATTCAACTGCTCGTTAGCGTAATATACGGGAAATTGCTTTGCCTCTCTCGTTCCCTGAGTGATTGATGACTAAATCACTGGATACATTATCATGATCTAATGAACGCTTCGAGAGTCACTCAGAATGACTGAAAATTAAAATCACTTCCTGAAGTACAATGCTTAAATCATTATTTTACGCAGTCTTCTAACACTAAGAAATGGTTTTTAATATAACCCGTCATAAAACATTATTTCTGACCCCCAATATCGACAAGATTGATCTTTCACTATTATAGCCAAAGAATGTGAAATATTTTTTGCTTTGTATTTCCTTTTTCAAACTCTTTTCTTTATTTTGCAAGGAAATGTAAGCTCAGGACATCAAGTCCGTATGTATGTATGCGCCAGCCTTAATAAATCTTGTAAGAAATTATGAATATTCGTGAATGCTTTTATGGGCTTTATGACACAGTAACACACCTCATATTAAATCATTATAATTTGAAAACATGACGTGGGAATGTGAGATTTATTATCAACATAAATCATAAATATACCTATGAATATTACATGATACACTGTTCCAAATATGTTAAATATTACAAGCATAAAGGCGATTCGAATTAATAGTTGGAAATTATCAATAAAAATAAATATTATTTCTTTGTGTAATTAATAATTTTTAACTCCTGCTAACAATTCTATGTATATACAAAAATTGAATAAAATGGGTCGTAATTAGTTCCCTGAACCACACAATAATCTAGACATGTATTAAAATGCGTGGAAACTTGAGTCCTCTCCCAACTTACTAGCAATTATCGACCAATAGGGTCAATTTCTCAGGACCTGAGTGTACAAAAGTCGACATAACTTACACCAACTCACTCTGTCCCGCCACAAAGATGAGAAAAGAAGGGTGGTTTGATTCTCGCATTGCAGATGTAATAATTCAAAGCGGAGACGAAAACGAACTCGAAGCTCGCGCGCCTCACGAAAGTCTCACAAAAATGAATTCAGCAATGAAATAAATCAACGGTAAATACTTTTCCTCTAAGGCTGGAAGCTTTACTTTTTACTCGTCTATTGGGCTGTTTGAGAACAGGATACTGAGGAAGATATAGGACCTAGGAGACAATAATGGAGAAAATTACATGATGCGAAGCTTAACAATTGTTTCCTTTGTGAAATACTATTAGTGTGGTCAAAAGGAGAGGATCTGAGGGGCGGGACACGCAGAACGCATGAGTAAGATGAGAAATTTACCTTCGGGTTTTATAGAAGGCGGAAATTTCTTGACCATATTAGCGAATACCATGTTCTCAAAAAGGGACTCAGCTCTATGGAGTTAGTTCGCTTATTTATTAAAATGATCACTACTTGGAGTGAAATGAAAACAGACATGCGATATCCATGGAAAATACAATACAAGCAGGGAAAGAAAGAACAATAATTCAGTTTGTGGTAAAAGAAGCTGGCGGCTGAGGTCGTGAGGGGGCGTGGCGGAGGAGTCCCTGGCGATTAGGAGGGTTTCTGTTCTAGCAAAAATTTATTACGCACACCGAACAAGAGACATTAATTTCTTACATGAGATAACGCGAAATTCGACCGAGTGGTTAGTACTCTTTTACATACGTGAATCTCAATCTGGATTTTGATGCATGGATAAAACTGATAAGATTCATAGCATTTTTATGAAGAATATGTTAGGAATCCCACATTGACCTGAACATTGCGCAGCAAAAATTTAATTAGGTAGAGGTGGTGGAAGACGGAAAATTACAACTTTAACACTAAAGCATTGGCAAATAATTTTATGCATGAAAAGTCATGAAGTAGTTAAGAAGTTCTGCGAATATCAGAAAGATAATAAGTTCGAAATGTGGAGGGAAATGAGCGAAAGAGAAATTTGAACAGATTTTAATGGCATTCATTTGGCTAAATCGGTACGAACACTAAAATAGTGTAATGGATATTGTTTGTAAAAAATATGTAATGATATTGAAAAGTAGGGTTTGTTTTCTAGGTTGTCCAGAAATATTTCACTGGTGGTTTACAGAGATATAAAAAGAAAGCGAGGTAGAGAAGAATTTATTGATCGCTGTAATAAAAACGATAGAAGGGGCATGGCTTGGTGGAGGCTGGGGATTTGTAAATTTGAAGGAAGTAGAAAGGGGAAAGAAAAAGGAACATATCCCCTATGTTTAGGAAAGGAAGACAGTAAACACATTCTATTGGAGTGCCCGGAAAACAAATACTGGATAAGACAAATTATATGCAAAAATATTAATGATGCGCCAGCGTATAGAAAAATGTTGTCGTACAACCAAAATGGCCTTACAAATATGGGAATATTTTTGTAAATAATTCAATTTAAATGGGAAGGGAAGGTAAATGAGACAGAAATTTAAGGGGAATACGGAATTACTAACCTGGGTACCATAATATAAACTGTAGTAAGCAAACCAATGTATTAAAGTTGTGGACTGAATGAGGATAAGTTCTGTGTTACACGGAATGCGGTCCTATGTGATACAGCGCTCAATTCAGTCAATAAATGCATGTGTAGTCCACTGCAATCGCCTTAATTTAACAAACTTAACATTTTTAATTAATTTATAAGTAGGCGTAAGCTTTTTTTTGTGGTTCTTATTAAACAACTGACCCATCAATCCAGTGAACACACAAAAATATCACATTATTTATATCACCATAAACATCATCCTGAAGTTGATATAACATACAACTTTTTTATGTAATTAATTTTAAATATATGACGTAACAGTATATAATACTCATACAGATGTTTGTATGAAAACATATTGTTGATGATGGTATAAATAGTGTGTTACTGTTGTGTGCTCGACGGACTAATGAATCGATTAATTTGGAGTTCGATCTCTAAACGACAAACATGATTCCTCTAGCTCGCATTGGGTGGGTTACATGATTAAAGAAGGCGCACTAGACTTTATGATGCTTCGACTGCAATAAAAATGACCCATAATACCCGTTGTGTATAAAAGTAAATAGAAAATAAATCTACATACATGTCCATAAAAAAATCAGTAACTTGTGTCTTCATCAAGCATAATGCAAGTCGTAAATAGAGGACGCTCCATATGGTGATTGTTTAAAGCACAAATAATAAAAACGTCGCCTCTTCCCATTACATCAAAGAAATGGCTTGAATTTTATGTATCAAGCACATCCTGTTATAAATATTTATAGCAACACTGATGCTATAAGATGTGGTCAGACTATGGACTCAGATCGGCATATGGCTGCGTACTGATGCAAACTCCTACAAGATCCAATATGATCCGTCCGATATCAGCGGACAAGTCGGATATGAGAAGGTGCGAATAAAATGATTTCTAATTAAAATTACAGCATTATTTAGGTTCGTTTTAATAATGTTTGTAAAAGAGAGTATATTTGGCCTATACATTATTTCCGTCACAAACAACAAAGCATATCATTATCACAAATAATATTTGTTATAGACGGTTATAAATCAATGATTATAAGGACAAAATAAATTGCCCTTCTTCATGGGCACTGCTGATGTTCGTGTAGATAAAAGAAAAAACAATAATTTTCTACTTCTAGTGTGAGCATTGTGCTAAGAAGTAGTCCTTCAGCTAAGTGAGCTAGTCCTGAAAACTACATACGCATATTTTTGAACATATTTAGCGAAAATATTGTCTTCTTGGCGACATGTTCTCTTTCTGGCAAAGTGTCTAGATTGATTGTTTTAGATTAATGTTGTTTTATTCTGTTTCTTGTAAGTGTTTTTTTTATTATCGTATGCCTGCAATAAGCTCTTCGCTGTTGATAAACACGCTAATAAAAAATGAAAGGAATTGATTTAAATTATTACCATTATTGTGAAAAGACCTATTCGCCTACGAGCCATCCCTTGCAATAATGATGTGATATATACACGTTTTATTTTATGAAGAAAATGTCTAAAATATGTGACGTGAAAGTATATCATACC